TTTTTTTTTTTTTTTTTTTTTTTTTTTTTTTTTTTTTTTTTTTTTTTTTTTTTTTTTTTTTTGCTTCTTAAGGAAAATTATTATTTTTAATTATAAGATTGTCAACTTGAAAAATTATCCATAGTTGACTTTTTTTAGCCCGTCCTTTTTAATTATTTTGACTTTAATTCTTATATGTTTATATGTATTTAGTCATACCCGATTTGTGAAAGTATTATCTTTTATAGTATTTGTAACAAAAGTTCGTTCTAAAATTACATTCAAATTATAATTATCTATCTACTTGAGCGTATAGATAATACATCAATTATTATTTCAAAAGTAAAAAATTTGATCTTCAATCAATTAGGTAAGAACCCACATCGGTGGAAGGGGGGAACAAAACATTCTTTATAACGGTATGAAAATCTCTCCCTAACAGACACATTTTTAACAACTTTGATGGAAAACTAAAAAAAAACAAAAAAAAAAAAGACAATATTTACTAGCATTAGACTTAGTTCTTACGAGTTATGTTGAATTTGGATTCCCAATATAGAGATCAAAAAATAAAAAATGGTGGGATTGCTCGTGAGCTGAGCAGTCCATAAGGAATACGTGACATTCAAACTTTATCAATAGAACATACCAAAACAATGTTGTCTTTTCAATCACGAGCAGTAGTGATCATAAATAAAAAGGCCTCTATGAGTGTTTAGAACACTTTTTTGTTAACTTTCAAGTAGGTAGGCAATAAATTTCCTTTTCTTTTTCAACCATAATCAAAATGGGACAGCAAAAGTGTCATCAGGACCATGTGTATTATGGCAAATCTTTCAACGTTTACAACCTACTGGCCTTGCCTTCAACATCATCTCATCAAATCTCTACATGTAAAGCCTAAAACAATTGATTCGAAGCTTCTAATCTCAAGATTGTAGCGCTGTCTAACAAAAGTTAAAAGTCTGAGAGGTTGGCTGTAGAGTCAACACGTCTTAGACGAACATGACCGTGATACAGAGCAGGCACAAAATTCCTCCATGAGTTAAGGTAGCATCTTTGAAGTGATGGGGATTCCAAATCAAACTAATGGCAAAGATTTCTCCCTAAGTGGATTGTCGTGGAGATGTTTCCTAAGGAACTTTACCCTCGTGTCTCCTTTGTCATTCATGCATTCTTTCCTCTTTCTTCCATTTTCATTGCCGTTTGTATCCAAGCTCATGTATGTTCCCTGTGCTGCTGCTAAAGCCACTGAATCAACCATGTCAAAGTCACCAACGGAGTCATCTTCATCCATTACATTTCTGACATCCGGAACCTTTGTTGCTGCTTCTACAAACTCAGCTCCTGATTTGCAAGTGATTTCTCTGGCTCTGAACTTGGAGTTCAAATGGTCGAACACTCTCACCCCTTGATTTTCCAATACCAGAAGCCACTCTGAAGTTAAATCAATTTAGCGTCAGCCGTCAATAAATGAACATCAAACACACATGCATATATTCAGATAATGCCCAGCCAAGTCTCAATGTTGTCCAGCAAACACAAACATGACTCACAGTATAGATGGACTATAATCAATTCCTTATGAAAGTTTAACACATAATAGTTCTGTATTCTACACTAATGTCAACTTCAGCTTCTTTAAACTATATCTCCACAATCACTCAGAGAAGTGTGTTGAGGATGGTTGGGAGAGGAGTCTCACGTTAGATAATTAAAGAGACGATTATGAGTTTATAAGGAATACATCGCCATTGATATGAGACCTTTTGCGAAGACCAAAAGCAAAGCCATGAGAGTTTATCCTCAAAATGGATAATTTCGTACTAAATAGGGCTGTGGTTTCTCACAAAGTGCATGAAAATTATATGAACAAAGTTAATGTACGGTATACATGTATAGAACATACCGATGAGAGCAGTGGGTGTGGAGATGTTTGGTTGACTCATCCTCTCACTGAAGCCTGGTTGGTTTCTGACCCAATTGATCAACTGAGAGGGCCAACAAGAATTGCGGAAGGCATTTATGTAGGACATAGCCTTTCTCAGATTACCAGTTTCTCTGCACCAATCAGACGGTGCACATTATTAAATTTTACTAACTTTCATGAAATGTATCGTGCAGAACTATGATTTATTATACCTAAAGGTTCGAATGCCATTTTCAGCAACAAATAGCCAATTCAAACAAATAGTTCTTAAATCCAAAGCAGGTCGTTCAGTTCCAAATTGAAGTTTAATGAATGGGTAATCTGGTATTATTGCAGCGTCATATAACACTTCTCGCAGAAGAACTTCATCTGCAGAACCCTGCAGAAGAAACGGTTCAGTAAAACCAAAGGTACGTTCCCCTTACCACATGAAGGTGAATAAGCAATATTACTCCAAAGTTGTATCCGATCAAGCTTAAGCCACCATGGGCGTGTATCTGATGGATAGTAACGGAGTTGCAGAAACTAAAACTACATCTCATAAGGGAAAGCCAACAATCTCCTAGTAGAAGTACTACAGCTTCATATAATTATACTACACGCATGGTAAACGAAACTCAAGAAAGAAAGAAATACTGACCAACAAATAGGTGGTCGGCAAAACTGACTGCAGTAGCATCCTGAGGAAAGTATCTGATACGCACCAACAGATTTCAGATAACAAGCACCCAGAGTCATGATAATAGGACAAAAGATCGGATGCAATTCTAGCACAGCTAAGAAAAGCTTGGTCATCCAGATATGTAGAGGGCATACGAACAAGAGAAGCCCTGTAAACATAATGAACGTGCAACGCAAAGGCCATTGGAATTTTCATTTTAAACCTTATACAGAGAGACATTACTTTCAGAATTAGATTTGTTTGTGACCATGGAACAACAATCTACTGAATTATATGATTCCCAAGAGAGAATATGTGCCTGCCATCCCTGGTTTTCAATTTTAGCTATGTTCACAGATTACAACATCAGTGCTTCGTGCCTAATTTACATGTATCAACCAAATATGCAAACTGAAGGATATGGTGGATAGTTGAACAGGACATCGAGTTAATGTATACCAAAACGAAAGCAACTAAGCCGAGGATACTTATTGTGAGATCTCACATCGGTCATAGAGGAAAACGAAACATTCCTTATAAGGGTGTGAAAACTTCTCTCTAACAGACATGTTTGAAAACGTTTTAAAACCTTGAGGGAAAGCCTAGAAGGAAAAGTCCAAAGACGACAATATTTGCTACCAGTGGGCTTGGACTGTTACAAATGGTATCAGAGTTAGACACCGGGTGGTGTGTCAGCGGGACGCTGGCTCCCAAGAGGAGTGGATTGTGAGATCCTATATCGGTCAGAGAGGGGAACAAAACATTCGTTATAAGGCGTGAAAACCTCTCCCTAGCAGAAGCCTTTTAAAACTTTGAGGAAAAGTTCAAAGACAACAATATTTGCTTAGCGTAGGTTTGGGCGGTAAGCAATAGAACAGAGAATAATGAAATTTCCTACATACAGAATGCACACTCCTGACTTTTAGGAGATGGAATTTGATTTGTGTTATGTCCATGTGTAGGTCAGAAGACAGGTCAATAAGAACTTACGATGCTTTAACTACCTACAAACCAGAGGGCTGGGGAACAAGTTGTGGACAATCATGTTGTTTAACAGTCTCGTGACATTAAAAGAGAAAAATGCCAAAATAAGATCAAAGTGAAATCTCACCATAGAAGTGACAGCTACGAAACCCAGCAATCATTTGAACCGCCCGGCTGTGCAGTTCATTTTGCAGCTCTACCATTGACATTCGAGAGGCAAATTTCAAGCACAGCCTCAACAAAAAGGCTTGAAACATAACTATCCCAGAAAAGTAGCCCACCCCGCCGTTGACACCGATGCCTTCACAAATTTCATGGCTAACAAGCGGGAGAAAACCCCTCAAATCTTCTCCAGGTTTGTCAACCATCCAGACTCGAGCTAAATCCAGAAAATAAGAACCAAATCCCAACAAACAATCGCCGTCCTCGGACTCTTGACCACAACAAATACCGATATAGCTAACAACTCCATCGATCAAATTCTCAGCTTCCTCCTTCAACGTTTTATTCTCAACAACTAAATCAAAGAGAGAGTAAATAACCGGAGCCAGCACCGCAATTCTTTTCGATGCACAGGACGACGCCGTGCAAGAAACGAGTAGATGGAATAAATCCTTAACTGCCAGCAATTTCTCCGAAGAATTTCGAGCTGCGGATTTAGCCGTGTGAAACGTCATAGCAGAGTAAAACCACACAACTGCCACCGGCGGGTCGGCCAAATTTCCCAACAAACGAGAGAAAATCGGAACGAAGCTTGAGAAATCAGTAACCCCTTTTCGATATTCATCGAAAAATCGTTCGATCGATTCCGATAGCATCAATGCATAAGGGTCTAGTTGGTTCGGAACTAATAGGAGCTTCGATCGGCTTTCATTCATTTTTTAAGTAACGGAAATGAATTTTGGAGCAGTGCTACAAGGAATCAATACCAGTAGTTGAGTCAAGTAGAAAGCCGAAAGAAGTGGAAGCTCTGTACCGTACTGAAACCCTAGATATTCGGGTGTTGAAGAATTCGTGGGAAAAGGAGGGAAAACCGAAGGATTTCAGTGACGTTGCTATTTTGAATTCGCAAGAAATTAAAATATTGCAAAATTAAGCTATATTCCTTCCCTCCAATCGCAAAATTGACTCGGTTTCTTCCAACTGTCATCTGAAGATTAATGGACTCGACTTCCATTAAATCGCATAATCATAAGGATAAAACAGAAAACGGAAAACATTGGAAGCAAACTTTAATGGCGAAAGATGACAAACTTGATTCTTCGTCTCTGATCGGTTTGAAACCGAGATTCTTTTTATAAATGACTCCAAAATTAATAAAGAATAGAATATAATCTAATTAGTTAAGACTTTGTTGAAAAACAATTCGAATTTTATTTTTTTTTTCTAGATTAAGACTTATTTTCTTTCCATATCTATTTTATCAAAACATTTAAATTAAAAAAATAATAACAAAAATTTAAAAAACTCCCATAATTATTAAAAAAAAAAAAAAAACAAATATTCTTAAACTTTTGTTTTTTATTTTAAAAATAGTATTTTTTTTTAATTGCAATATTATAATTTAAATATTTTAAAATACCTACTAAGTGAAAGGGGATCAAGTTTGCCTAGATCAAGCTTTAAAAGACACATTTTGACATCAAATATAATTTTTAAATATTTACGAAAAATCATGTTCACGAAAAATCATGAATAACACCGAGACCGGTGACCACGAGCAAGTCATTTCTATTAAAGGACGTGTTTTTATTTTTATTTTTTTTAATTCATCAATATATGGAGAATCGAGAGTAAATGCCTTTTGTCTTTACGCCAGATGTGAACGGAGAAGAATTTGAAACAAGTTGAGAAATACCACTGACAATAACATGAGATATCAAATTCACTTGCAAGTTTTAGGAAGTCGGAGTAAACCTTGCCATTTACAGGCTCAGATAACATGGGAAGATTAACAGATAAAAAAACATCACAAAGGGTGTCATATGGTCTCTTATTGCAACATCACTCATAACCTTCTATTAGATTTCCACAACCTCGTATTAATACGTCTTATTATAGTTCGAAGCATCCGCCAAATTACAATACCTGACTTGGATAGATGGTCTCACTTGGTCCACCAATGGAGGAAATCTTTGCGCCTGTTGATCTTCTTCTGCAACTGAAGTATTCCATAAAGCAATGCCTCAGCAGTTGGAGGGCAGCCAGGAACATAGATATCAACCGGGACTATCCGATCGCAACCCCGAACAACCGAGTATGAATAGTGATAGTATCCACCACCATTTGCGCAGCTTCCCATGGATATAACCCACCGCGGTTCTGGCATTTGATCATAAACCCTGCAGTGAAGAAATGAAAAGTAAGCATAATCTATCAAAATACCATAACGGGAACGCGTACAGAGTTCAACTATCAAACCCCAATAAGCAAATTAGCATAAATAGGACTTCAAATAAAACAAATTTCTCACTAAATACCACAATTTTAAGTTTAGTTTTCAGAGAATTCCAAAAGCTCCTTTGCCATAAAAGAGCTGTCGGAACCAAGATGGACTAGCAGTAATTCTCATCATTCTCATTTGTCAACTGGATTCCATGTATGTAAACATAGAATATTTGAGATCTTTTTACCCCCAAACTTTGTTATATTCTATAATGAACACTCCTTTCAAATTCAGACTGAAGAGTGCAGATTGTTCATCTTTATATTGTTTAGAAAAGCACCTCCCTGTTTAATATCATATATCAAGACATCGTTAATCCTAGAAAATTAAGATAAGTTACTCTCTCTGCTCACCATGGACTGAGTTAACTTTTTCCAGTCGTTTTTCGGGTTGCTTTTAATGTTGGACCATCGACAGGAGCGGAAGGACTTCCCTAAACTTAGAGAAGATTGGAACTCGACAAAAGTAGCATTCTAAGATCAAACAACAGACAATGGTTCACTAACTGCCAACAGGAAGTTCGAGTTTCAAGCTTGAAAAATGAAGGTATGCAACATTCAGGCCAAGCATTGATGAGACTCTTGGAACTCTTTACACATTGAAAATACGTTAAAGGCAAGTGTTGAGTACCTCGCCATAGCAACAGTAATAGACATTGACATACAAATACAAACAAGAAACGGTTGTATTCCAATTCAGTATGCCCCTACCACATTGGAGCGATGGACACATTCCTTTCCCTAAAATAAACTATCAGGAGTTTGAAGCAATTGAAATCAAAACATGTTCTGTTTTGATTCGATAGTATCAATTTTGATATTTCCTGAATGAGTCAATCAAGTCTTTGAAACTCACTTCCCATATACACACTTCAAGATTTATTTGGAGTTTAGTATATATTGCACTTTTCAAATTCATGCACCAATATCCCATTGGATGAAATCTTTTTGGGCAATAGCTTAATATTCTAAAACAACAGCCTCACTGGCCGCTGCAACCCTCTTATAGGTATACAGATTTTGAAGCAGAAAATACACATGCCTTATTTCATTCAGAATAAAGCATTTCATTATCTATTGCAAGCAAGAAATACCGCCATATAAATGAGACCAAAAGTTCCAAGAACTTTGCATATCATTGCGATAGACTAGCATTCTGATATTCTTATACCTTTCTATAAGAAAAGTCACACATATAGAATTTACTGATCCCTTGGTCATACTAGAACTACATTTTTACGCATCAAGATTAAACAATAAGAACTCTAACATGAGGTATGGCATCGGAATTGGTGTATTCGTGTAGACTTTAGCTTCATTTTTCTCAATGAACCAGATATTCATGCATGGTAGCCTTATGCAAGCTACTTTTACAATTCAATTGTTTTTTATAAATTTCCTCATTGTCCAGGCCAACTTGGGCACGCCTTGACTATTATAATGAGCCAATTATATGACCCTATTATGTTTCGTTGCCAAGGAAACTCATCAAATATTAAATCGTAGGTATGTGGCGACCATAACTTGGACTCATTCCTCTCTAAGTCCTATATTATTTACATTTACCTTATTGACCACTTAGTCAACCCACAGAGATCTATCTACCCCCAATAAAGCAATAACTTCTTAATCTACAGACATGCAGCTGCTCATATCAAAGAGGACAATATCTGCTAGCGATGTGCTTGAGCTAGTATAAATGGTATCAGAGCCAAATACCGAGCGATGTGCCAGCGAGGAGGTTGAGCCTCGAAGGGGGGTCATGAGGCGGTGTACTAGCAAGGAGCTGGGCCCCAAAGGGTGTGGATTGAGGGGGTGCCACATCAATTGGAAAAGAGAACGAGTGCCAACGAGGGCGCTGGGCCCCGAAGGGGGGTGGATTGTGAGATCCCACATCGGTTGGGGAGGAGAACAAAACTTTATTTATATGGGTGTACAAACCTCTCCCTAGCAGAGGCATTTTTAAAATTTGAGGGAAAAGCCCAAAGAGGACAATATCTGCTACGATGGACTTGGGCGGTTACATATAATGCTACTAAGCCTACTGACTTTCATCTCCAACATACTCTAGGCTAGCACAAGCGCCTCTTAAATCCTCATCATATAACTATATGGACTCCGATAAAAAATACTAAAATAATATAACAAAATATGACAAGAGATGAAACACAATTTCAAAAACTGGTTACTTCCAATTACGTAAATCAATAGTTCAAACCATGAATAAAAACCAGAACTAAGATTGGAAGAGAATCCCAAAGAATTTTTTTTCCATTTGACCTTATTAAGGACTTGGCTACTTATGTGAAATGACTCCAGCCATTTCTGTGAAGGGAAGACACCACAGCACAGTTTGTGACTTATTTCAGTATGAGGAAGTCTTTACTTTATAATGCACATTTCAAATTCAGACGAACAAAATAAGGAGTAGGGACATCTTAAAAGCAAAGAAAATAGCATTTTTTTTTATATATGTGACGACTCCCTTATTGTAAACAAAATAGCATTTCAAATTCATGATTACTCAACCTAAACAGCATTTTTTCACAAATCATGCCAGGATGATGAAGTGAAAAAACTTCGTCCAAAAACTAGCTTGATGATTACTTGATAAATTTCCTTGTAAGCCATGGAGGTCATATGTGACGAGAAAAAATTCATGAAAACATATAACATGAATGCAGGTAAACAAATGAATCATAGGGATAGTTCCCCCAATTTACATTACAAAAGCTCAGTCAATCCAACGTATCAGAAGTAATCAACCCTTTTCTCATAATCAAGAATAGAAACTACCCTTAAAATCTATCGACATAAAGGCTGAAACATCGTATCCAAGACAATCACTGCATCTATCAGAAATTAATTTGACCTAAGAAATAAGAAAATACAGCAGATAATTTACCAGTGTAAGCCAATCAAAGTTCTGAAGTTAAACCCAAAACCTTTTACCTTTTAGTTATCAAACCATTGTCAGGAAAGATAAATATACTCAGACGGGAATAATATCTTCACAAATTTAGATGAGCAAAATATGTGAGAGCTACAGCCTACAAGTCGGGAACAATTGACAAAAAAGCCAACTCTAGAAACTGAAAAATCAAACAATTCAAAGCTTTGATCTCGATATGAAGTTTTCCATGAATCTACTAATTCAATTAGTTATCCAGTCAGGTTCATGAATTCCAGAATTAAACGATAATCGTAGAGCTAAGAAATGTCCATGGAGAATAACAGAAAGTGAGAGGGAGTAAACTAACTTGCGAAGAGCTGGAGCCATCTTGTTGGTGAGGGTACCGGCAACAATCATGCAATCAGATTGCCTAGGGCTAGGACGGAAGATGACACCAAAGCGATCAAGGTCATAGCGGGCAGCACCAGTATGCATCATTTCAACGGCGCAACAAGCAAGACCAAAGGTCATGGGCCAGATAGAGCCACGGCGAGCCCAGTTCAGGAGGTCATCGACCTTGGAGATCACATACTCTGCCGCCTTCGGAAGCCCCGTTGGGGACAAGGTCGAAGGAGGCGACGGGCTCGCATACGGCGTCGGCGAGGCGGACGATGAAGAAGACAAAACCGGAGCTGTAGTATGAAGAGAGAAAGCTCCCCGCGCGGCAAGGAGATGGGGGATGCGAGTGGAAGCTCGGCTCACAGCGGCCATTGCCACGATTCAAGATTCAGAACCTCCGATATACACCAAAATGAACAATTCAGAAATCTATTACGAAAATTAGAAATAACAATTTGCATCTCAGTCGCTGTTGACGTGGCACTCTATTGGCGGTACATAAAAACGACATGTCGCACCTATATGGGCCGGGAATATTAAAGCCCACACCAATTACTTTGGGCCTCATCCAGTGGGCTTTCCTCTACAATCAAAGATCTCCGGTCTTTTCGGTAATTTCGTAACTAGAAATTAGGGTTTTGAATCTGCTCTATAAATTTCTGCTGAATCGCAGCTTTGGAAATATCTTCTTCTTCTTCTTCTTCGACGACTCTGATTTCTGGCCATTTCTGTGTTCTTATTGTTTCCGATTTACATTCTTCTTTCTTCTTTCAATTTTTATCGTTTTTGTTTGACAAAGATCATTGAGTTCTTGAGATCTTGAATCGTTGTCCGTTTAATTCGCTTTAGATTTCGATGAAATAGGTTTATCTGGACTTGGCTCCATCATCGAGTCAGCAGCAGGCGCCTTTTTGGTGGCGATCCGTCTGCCGCATGGAGCCGATACTTGGTTACCGGAAGAAGATCCTTGAAACGCATCAGTTGTTTCAAGATACAATGCCCGGTCTACATTTTCCTTGCTTACTCTAACATCTTCATCTGCATATTTCAAAAGATTTTTTAAGTAATCGATTGATTCGATTGATGAATTTGTTTTTGAGGTTAGGGAATATTAATTTTGAATTGGCACTCAAGTCAGACACGGGTGTTTGTTTTTTATCTTACAACAAACAACCTTTTGCACGGTGCCTATAAAGAGCTACTGAACACGATTGGGGGAAGTGATTATTTTTCATGGCTTCCTTCAAATTTAAAGCAGCTAAATTTTGGATTTATTCCACTTTTTTCTTTGAATCATTCCTAATTAACACGCGAACGTTTTTCTCACTTCTGTCAATTTAGTGAAATGGTTTTTTTTTTACTGTAAACGATTTTGTTATCAAAATTTCTGGTGAAATACTATCAAAATTTTGCAATTCAATATCATCCTAAAATCTTCGAGAAACTAGCTTGAATATACTTCCGAGTTTGGTATTTTTGTTGTCCACAGAACAATCTCGATTGGAAACCCAAACTTTTAATGAGCATAAATTTGCAACAAAGTTTTTTCCTATTATGAGAAATTTTAATTATAGAGGACTCCTGGGAGAATAAAGCCTTGCAATTCAGATATTGTGAATGACGATGAATGAAGCCCAGAAGATCATACCGAACACATTTTAGACTATCACCCAAATTCATAAGGCTACTTTTAAGAATGCCCGTTGCTTAATATTGAGCGCCAGGTTAAATATTTCCTGAAGCAATAAGATATGAGGGACTGAAATAATGTCAGTCTAAGTCCATATTAAGATTAAAATTGAAATGACAATCCATTCATTGACAAGAATGATAATAAAATCAACACCCAAACTACGTTAACTTAAAAATTTCAAGCCATCTCTCCAGTATTTGAACTTAGTCTTCAAAGCTTTTATAACACAAGGTCCAATCAATCTATACGATTCAACTGGAAATGTCTGGACAAGCAATCTATACAAATAAAAAGAATCAACCAGCCCCACATAAATTGGACTATATAGTTAAACTGGCGATAATACATACCTCTCTTATGCATAAAACGATGCCAATGAGCTTAAAAAATTTTGGGAAGCCTTTGATGACTGTTGCACCATCGCCCAAGATAACATATTTTTTTATGCAATTCGTAATTTAATCTTAAAGGCATATCCTACAAAACTGATGCTATAGCAGACAAGACCCACCACTGCTTCAGCCATCTTCAAAATTGCAAAATCTAAATTATAGAATTTGAAGATGTTACAGAAGTTACCAGATAAGCAACATCTTCAAAAGAAGAAAAAAGAAAGGAATTGAACAGACGTTTAGAAGCAACAAGAACAGTCAAATGGGCAAAGCGGGGTGCCTCCTGCGTCTGCACTGCCAATACCCAATTCCTCTTCTGTGTAAATCTTTAGTCCATCCCCTGTTTTCTTTCTACTCTGTGATGGTGGGTCTACAAAGCCATTTCTAGGCTGAGTCTCATCCCTTTTCTTGTTCTTCAGCTTCATCGGTCTGTCCAATGCATCTTGTTTTGGTTTTTTAGCCTCCTGAATTTCCGGTTTTTTTCTCTTCTTCCCAGCGAAAATTTCATCGATTTCACTGCGTTTCTTTACTGAAGGGGGCTTTTCCTCCTTTATGGAAGAATTGGGCTTTTCATTTTTTACCACAGAATTGGATTTTTCCTCCTTTGTGATGACCTTCTCTTTCACCTCTTTATGCGCTTTAGAAGATTTCTTCTTAGGCATTTGTATAATATGATCGATCAGCTGCACAAAAAATTACACAATCTTAAGACTTATCCACAGACCACTGCTATTCAGTTAAAGCATTCAGTTAACGAGAAGAAGATTCTCTATTCTATTCCACAGAGCTCGATTATCACTCAGCTCTAACAAAAATCATTACAATACTCAAAGAAAATTCTACGAATTGCCGGCAGAAAAGGTAAAGGAGGCAATCTCTAATGAGTATTGATTCGATTACGACTTAACTTTTCCTAAACCGAAATAGTGGTCTCCATTTGTAAGAATCGACAACTAACCCTAAGTCCTTGATCCGGAAAAACAGATTTTCAATCAAACCACGAGGTTCGCTTCCAATCTAAGTTTGACGTTCATCCATTTGATAGATGAAATTAGAAAGACGAAGACAGGAGATAGAGACTAGAGAGAATACCTAAAACCAATAGAGTAGAAGATTGAAGACAAAATGATGCAGCACAGCGCAGTAGGATAGGCGAGAGTAAGGAGGGACGGCAGCGGCACCGACGGCGACGGAGAGCACGGCGGGGCGACTGAACTATTCAGAAGAAGAGGATCAGGCGGGAAGACGGAGGATAAGCGTGAGGCGGCTAGGTTTTCATCATTTTTGTTTCTTCCTTCCTTTCCCATTTTCAAAAACAAAAATCAAGTAGGGATGGGCCGTTTAATCGGCACCCGATAACCGACCCGATTGGTAGGCAAATGGCCACTATTTCGTGGGCTCATTGCCAATATTTAATGGGCCGTATACTAGTGGTCTGGGCCGCTTAAGATGTCCAACTTACAAATTTACCCCCGGTACAGTTCCCCCTTTACTGAAAGTTTTATAATAATAATAATTTTACATATTTGTATTATTTTAATTAATTTAATTAATTGTCTGAATTAATTAATCGACACGGCATCATTTCTGTGTTGCAATTTGCAGAGAGCGACGGCGAGAACCATGGAGGGTATCGAAGGGGAGAGAGGAGGAAGCCGATACTCACTGCAGCCATCGAGAATTAACAACGAAGACATTCTGTTCTGCATAGATGTGAACCCCGAATCCTCCGTCGAGATCAAAACCACCGGCTCTAATGGACGACCCATCACCAGAATGGACTCCATTAAGCAAGCAATTCTTCTCTTCGTCCACGCCAAACTCTCCATGAATCCCGACCACCGATTTGCCTTCACCACCATCGCCAAATCTGCCACTTGGGTAATGCCCTATCCATTGCCTATTTCTTGTTGATCTTGCTTTCTTCTTTCTCTTCTTTCTATTTTCCAGAAATTTAGAATTGGGATGATGAAGTTTCTAGGGTTTGTGTCTGTTTTAGGTTAAAGTTTATTTTAATTTTAGGGGAGTTATATATTTCTTCGTATTCTTCCAGTCTTTTTAACTCCACGGACACCCTTTTTGATTTTAGCATTTTGCGCATCGTTATGCTTATTGACCTAAACTGGTGAACTGAAATTGTAACTAGTGATCAAGGATTTAATGTGGTTCTGGAGAAATTATGGATTGTTCTTTGGTTGGAAACTCGCAGTTTAAATTCTTATGCAATTTGAGTTGTACTTGGCATTCTGTTGGAGACTATATCTGAGTTTTTCTTCTGATCCAACTCATAGAACTTTAAGATTTTGCATAGTGTTAATGTGATTATCCTCTTAGGTCCTTATTTACTGTTCATCGGTATCTGATTTGCTACTTATAGTTGAAGTACATAGCATAAACTTGCTGATCAAACTAGTAATCAATTTGCAACTTTGAATTGAAGAATGTAACTCAACCATGCTGATCCAACGCATTTTCCTTTCCACTTTGTGTACTCTTTCTAAGAGGTGTTGTTTTGATATTGTATTTAAAGGGGGAAAGGGAGAAGATGATATCGCCATGTATCCTTTATGTATCCTTTTTTGGAGTCCTTTTTTGTTGAGGATTCTTGGGAGGGAGTTTCACATTGGCTAATTAAAGAGATGATCATGGGGTTATAAATAAGGAATATATCTCCATTGATATGAGGCTTTTTAGGGAAACAAAAAGTAAAGTCATGAGAGCTTATCCTCAAGTGGACAATATCATACCATTGTAGAGGTTTGCGATTCCTAACATGATATTAGAGTCATGCTCTTAACTTAGCCATACTCATCGAATTCTCAAGTGTCGAACAAAGGGTGTACTTTTGGAGCCAAGCCTTGATAAATGGAGACTGATTGAGGGCTACATAGGTCTCAAGGGAGGCTTTATGATGTACTTTGTTTGAGAGGAAGATTGTTGAGGGTTGTTGGAAGGGAGTCCCACATTGTAATTAAGGGGATAATCATGGGTTTATAAGTAAGGAATATATCTCCGTTGGTATGAGGCCCTTTGGGGAAACCAAAAGTAAAGCCACGAGAGCTTATAATTAAAGTAGACAATATCATACCATTATGGAGGTTCGTGATTCCTAACATTTCTTGGGTAGTAAAACCTGGAGACAGGCATGGAAAATGGTTATAGGCTGAGGACTTTATTGTTATAGATGAAATGTCAGCTTCTAATCCAAAATGTTTATGATTGTAGCTCAAAAGAGATTTTAGCAGTGATATTGCATCTGTAGAAGCTGCAATCAGGGGGCTTGTTCCTACTTCCTCCTGCAGTCATGCCGATCTTACCAGCCTTTTTCGATTAGCTGCTCATGAAGCTAGAAAGTCGACCGCTCAGAATCATATTCTAAGAGTGGTATGCTCATTATACCAATACTCGTAATCTGTCGATTCAACTCAAAGAATATATCATTGTTCTGAAATTATGAGTTAGCCTAGATCATCAGACCTTGAACTCCTTATGTTCCAATGAATGCTTGAAAAATCATGTTTATAACCATTGTTGCATTTAGATTCTTATATATTGTAGATCATCAACACGACCACAACATCAATGGCCTGTGAACCAAAAACTGTTCACTTTAGATGTTATTTACCTACATGAGAAGCCTGGACCAGACAACTGCCCACAGGAGGTCTATGATGCCTTAGTTGATGCCCTTGATCTTGTCAGCCAGTATGAAGGCTATATTTTCGAGAGCGGCCAGGGAGTTGCACGTGTTCTTTACCGTTGCATGTGTTTGTTGTTATCACACCCCCAGCAGCGAATATCACTAGACGATCTCAACATACCAAAGCTTCTTACAAAGAAAGTACCTCCTGCCGATTCCATCCCTGCAAACGAAGTTGTCCCTGTTACCAGCCAGTGAGACAGAAGGGCTTAAAACAATAGTGGAAAACTGGATGCTGTTGTTATTGCTGCTGTAGCTTAATGGTACCTCACTCTTCAGTAATCTGATGCTTCTCTCTCTTTTTTTTTTTTTTTTTTTTTTT